TAAAAAGGGAAAGGGATTCCCATCAGTATGTTGCCTAGAGTGTCTTCTAGGCAGAGAGGTCAGAGGTCTCACCATCCACAGCCAAGTCCACCCTGGCCCATCCAGCCTACTCTCATGCCTCTGACCTATCTACTTCGATTCAGAAGTGGGAATCTCCTTAGGATCTTTCTCAGCAAAAACTCACTGCTTCTCCATAGCATGTTGCATTCTTGAGCATAATTTAGGCAAACGATCATTAAATAAACTCCCTGAAGTTGTGAAAAGAAATGCAGACTACACGTTAGCACAAAGTTGAGCTTGATCCATGAGATGCTGATTCTCACCTTGAATGGGGAAATTTATTTCCTTGGAACTTGTGCTGTTGTGGCTGAGCCACGCCCACCAGAGTGGACACCAACACGCTCATCATTCCATCCTCAATCCTGAGCAGGGGCTTAAGTTATGTAAGCAAAGATGTTTTTTGTAAGCCCTAATCCCCCACGGAAGATTCCTGGCAGGGTAAGAATCCACCAAATGTGTTTTTAAAAATGAGTATCCTTGGTAGAAAAAATATTTCTCCTTCCAAATGATGGATAACAGAGAAATGAACAGGGAGACCCAAAGAGAGCCAATTTATCAAGTATCTGCATGAATACAATGAGGAATGTTTATATGGCATGCGGAGAGGAGAAAATTTGGTGTCATGGTCTGTCACAGCCACTTTTGCTGCAGTGTGATATCTCAGCATGACAGTTTCATCAAATGAAAATAATAGCGCCTCATTGCACAAAACTGCAGAGGCTAACCTCTTTTTCATTACAGTTGGAAGGAAGAATGAGGAGCTCTGTGCCATCCCCAGGGGGGCAGCTGGCTTTCCCAGTGTGCTGCCTGTTGGTCATGGCCTGCTCAGCAGCCTTGCTCAGAAGTCTTCCGACAAGGGGTGGGAGTGGAGAGATCAGGTCACAGGACATTCACAGGGTATTGCACGAGCCCTCACTCACACCACAGTAGCCCTGCTCCTGTGCCTGCTCCCCTCCCCTGCTCGATGCTGTGTCTCTCCTCTGTGCTTATGTTAGTCTTATCAACCTTTTGGACATACCTGGACTGGTGCCCCTGTGCTCAATGATGGCGTCATTCCGTGACCTCCTGCTGCTTGTCTCCCTGCACAACAGCCCACCAACCTTGAATTTATCATGATCAGTGTTAACAACGAGCATTTCTTGAGTACTTTCTCTATTCCAGGCACTGTGCTAGGTGCTAAAGATATAAAGATGACAAAGACCCACTGCCTGTCATCAGAGCACTAATAGTGTGTATGGAGAGACAAGATGGATTCATGAGTGGATCAATCAACTGATAATGATAAATTCAGGATGGTGGGTCTCCAAGCCTAGCCATGGGATGTAGTAAATGATATTGAGGATTTGGCCTATCACCCAGAGGGATCTAAACATCCCATAGGATACAACTGAGATGCCCAAAAGTCCTTTCATTCTCTGCTTGGGGCTCTCAGAGCTCTGGAAAGCACCAAGGAAAATAAAGCCCAGGCTGCCATTTTGAAGTATGACACAGTCATGAAATTGACCTGAGACTAGTCTCTGGGGCAAAGCTGGTGGTAATTAGGAAACCAGCAAATGTAAGCCTATCTGTTTTATACTTAAAACAGAAGTGAAGAAATAAGGTGTGTCTTTGGTTAATATTACTCTTGAACCGTCACAAATATTGCACTGGATACCACAATTACAAGCATTTGGATGCACCATTCGAATCATACCCAGATACGTGTGCCAGCGTCTCTGCCTCACACCTTTTTTGTACTCCACATGTGCGTACACTACCACTGGATATCTCAAAGGGGTCTCGAGCCTAACATGCCCAAAACCAAGTTCTTGAGCTTACCCACCCCCCAACCCTGTTCCTCCACCCATCCCCTTTCTTTTTTCTTAACCATTTACACAGTTGCTTAAAACAAAAACTTGGATTTATACTTGAAATATCCCTCTCCTTCATCCCCCTGCATCCAAAACATATCTTAAATCTATCCACCACTCTCCTTTCATTGTTCAGGAGAAGCGATTATTATTTTTCCTCAACCAGGATAACCAGAATCAAACTATAATGTAAATCAGATTTACCAGCACCTCTGCTCAAAACCCTTCTTTTGCTTCCCAGTACCCTTGGGTTAAAATCCAAACATTCTACCACGTCCCTCCACTCTGGCAATTGCCTGCTTCTTGAGTGGCACTTTCTGATGTACTGTCTTGAGACTGTCTCTAGCCACATTGGCCTTCTTTCCAACATTTTCCTACCTATGCCCAGGGCAGACATGGTGAGCTGCCTGCCAGTCCATTTTCTGCTTTCTTCTACACGAGCAGAATTGTGATTTCACTCAGGGGATTTCCCTCATCCACACTAGCACCTGCTGCACTTGGCCAACAACGATAGTCCCATTTTCTTTGCCAGTGGCTGATTTAGAAAAGACACAAGAGAGCTTGCTCTCACGTGCTCTCTGTCCACCATGTGAGGAAACAGTGAGAAGGCGGACATCTGCTAGCCAGGAAGAGAGCCCTCACCAGAACCCAAGTTGGCCGGCACCTTGATCTTGGACTTCCAGCCTCCAGAACTGTAAGAAATAAATGTCTCCTGTTTAAACCACCTACTCTATGGCATTTTGTTATAGCAGCCTGAGCTAAAACATCAGTGCTTAGTTTTAAACTGCTTATCCTAGTAATTCTAAGAAACATCTGTCAAGACGTACCTCCTCATAGCTGTACCAAGACCCTATGCCAACGCCAAGACTTCAGAGAAATAATCATATATATTTAAACAAACCCAAAGGGAGTCTATAGTCATTTGTGCAGACCACAGGAGTGGTGAAAGGTTCATAACAGGTGCGAGGCAACTTCAAAAAGTTTGCAGAAAAATAGAATTAAAAGATAGTAAAAATCTTTCCATGAATTTTTTGAAGTACCCTCATACAAAGGAACAAACAGTCAAAAAGCCAGAAAAGATTTCCCAGCCTCACAGATTTCTCTAAACAGACACAAGCTTTTTGCAGGAAGGGCACTAACCTATCATTATTTTCTTAAGCCTTTCAGTCAAGCTGGGTGAGGCAGGACCTCTGATAAGAATTTTACTTGAGGATTTAAGGAGCCAGGGTGATATAACATAGGGCCCAGGTCCAGTATCTGCTTACTCAAGAACCCCCCTAAAATGGTATGCAAAATTGTATGTGTGTGTGTTATTTCACTAGGGGAGAGGGTCCACAACTTCATTAGATTCTCAGAAGGGGCCTCTCCCACAAAAGGATGAAATAACTGCAGAAAATGGTCAACGTGCTTTGAAAGTGAAAGCACTATATATGTGCAACAGCTTGGTTTTAGAGCTCAGATGAATCTGCCCTTTTTACCTATATCCATAAAAGAGAGCCTTATAGGCCAACTATATTATAATAGATAAAATTCTCCTGTGACAATGGCAAGAATCTATAGGAGCTGTCATCTAAATCCACACTAAACTACAAAAGCTGCCCAGTTGAATGAACACTGTAGAAAGACCATTTGCTTCCCAGATAATGAGACAAAGCCAGTACAGGGGGGATGTTTCTAGCATTCCTGGAGAAGAACAGAATGCCACATGCTGTCAGAACTTTCTCCAATCATAATCCCCTGCAGTCTTTCACTGTGTGCACGGGGCTCTGTCTGCTAGAAAACGTTCCCTTCCTTGGGGATGTTGAGGAGGAGAAATTTATTTCCTAGCAATTACTGAAACTAGTTGGCCTAAACCCACCCTAAAAGTATGTTCCATAATAAGTATTTTGGAAGTATAACTGAAAAAAGAAATTGTAATTTAAAAATAACATTATAGTGGACTTAAGCAATATAAAACAAAACAATAAGAAATAAAACCAATGATACTGAAATAATTGCAAGAAGCCTATGGCATAGGACTGCGTTTCCTGGTTTACGGAGATAAGTCATCTGAGAAGAAATGAGAAATCCAAAGGCTAAATTTTTATTTTCATTACATTTTTTTCTAATTGTGATTTCTTTTGGAGATGTCCTAATATTTTCACAGTGTTTTGTATTCTTCCAAAAGCCAAGGTGGCACATGAAAAGATTCTCCATGTCATTAGCTATTAGGGAAATGCAAATCAAAACCACAATGAGATACTACTTTCACACCCACTGGGATGGCTGTTCTCCAAAAAATGGAAAATAACAAGTGTTGGCAGGAAGGGGACTGGCCTATCATTCATTTCCTTAAGCCCTTCACTCAAGTTGGGCAAGCAGGACCTCTGACAGCAGTGCAAAGACCCTACCCATGACAAGATTTCGGAGTGGATGTGGAGAAATTGAAACCTTTGTGCATTGCTGCTGTAGAAAATTGTATGGTGGTTCCTCAAAAGTTAAACACTGAATTACCATATGATCCAGCAATTCCACTTCTAGATATATATCCCAAAGAGTTGAAAGCAGGGATTTGAACAGATACGTGTACACTACTGTTCATAGAAGCATTATTCACAAAAGCAGCCAAAAGGTGGAAACAGCCCAAGTGTCCACAGACAGATGAGTGGATAAACGAAGTGTGGTCTATACATACAGTGGAATATTAGTCAGCCTTAAAAAGGAAGTAAATTCTGACACATGCTACAGCATGCATGCACCTTGAATACATTACACTAAGTGAAATACTCAAAAAGAGAAATCTGGAATGATTCCACGTATATGAAGTTCCTAGAGTAGTCAAATTCATGGAGACAGAAAGAAGAATGAAGGTTGCCAGGGGCTGGAGGAGGAAGGTATAGGGAGTTATTGTTTAACAGGTAAAGAGTTTGGAATGATGAAAAACTTCTGGAAATGGATAATGATGATGGACGTACAACATTGTGAATGTGCTTTATGCCACTGAATTGTACCTTAAAGGAGGCTGAAATGGTTAATTTTGTGTTATATATATTTTGCCACATTAAAAATAATAAAGGGGGAAAGGAAACCAGGGTGGCAAGCAATACTTACAAGATGTAGGCAATCACCCCGATGGACCAGCAGTCGACAGCTTTGCTGTAAGGTTTCTGGGCAAGGACTTCAGGAGCTGTGAATGATAAGTAGAGATGCAGCCTGATGATTTAAATGCCTGAGACTGAAGACAATTTTTAGGGATTTTTTTCTTTCTCTGCCTGCTCTTCGGGTAGGACTTTCTATAAGTCTAAAACTTGACTAGAGAGATATGACCCATTTTATTTTTTGGCTTTTCTAACTAGAAAAAAATGAAGTTATTTTTGTGTATTTGCATGCATGTGTTTAACTAGAGACTATCAATCAAATTCAATCAACAAACACTTAACAGGTGGCTATTTTATGGCAGTGCTGCGCTAACCACTATAGCTCAGACCAGACTGACACTCAGTTTGCGGTCTGGAGTATGTGACTTCACCTCAAATCAACTCTAGGCAGTATTTCTGGCCCTGCTGTAGGACTTTGCTGGGTGCTCTGGGGACAGGAAGGTGAGGTGGCCTCTCTCTGCCTTCATGGAGCTGGCAGTGAGGTAGAACTCAGAGCTACAATGAGGTCTTTAGGAATCCTGCTCCAGGCCTGTTCTTAGTTCATTCTCTAAGGTTTGGGATGGCGATCTGCGAGCACTTTCATTTCATTTTCTCATCTGTGAAACAGGAAAAATGCTACTTAATCTCACTTTCTTGGTCCTAAAACAATATTCACTAAGAGTCATCCATTCTGGGGTTTGGGGCTCATTTTGTACTATTCCCACATTCCTTGTTCCTAGCCCCATGGCTACGACCTACAGTCAGATACCCACCAGTGTCTGGTGACCAGCAGTGTCTGGCATAGCTGGCACTCAATACATACTTGTGCAAAGAGTAAATAAATACAAGAAGAGACAGTGAATCTTATTCATAAATGAAATCTCCTTTCCCCCCAAACACATCTGATTGAAATGTTTTTAGAGCAGATTTTCCAGAAAAGTTAAAAGAACACAAAAAATAAAAATGGCTTTAGCAATAAGGCACATGTTATATGCTGAACTGTGTGTTCTATGGGGTTTGGATGCACAAACTCACGTACCCTAACATGCCTCGTGGGGAAGCCCTATTATCATGATCATCGTTATTCCCAAATTACAGGTGAGGACACAGAGGTACTGAGAGGTTAGGCAACTTAGCCACAGTGATCCAGCTGGAAAGTGGCCTAATCTGTATTAAGTGCCTGCTGTCAGCTGGGTCTTGTGCTAGTCATTTGTGAGTATTTTCTATCATAATCCTTTCAACAACTCTTATAATGATCACAACCTGCACCTGATAGAAAGGAAAATGATAAGGAACCTGATAAGGAAAATGAGCCTCAGAGAAGTTAAGTAACTTGTCCAGCATCACACAGCTAGATATGGAAGAGCTGGGATTTGAAACCAGGTTAATCTGATCCTTGTCCTGGCTCTATCCACTAAAATATACTGTTTGTTAACATGAGAGCTTCTTCGGTCTCTAAGAAAAGTCCTTTTGCAGAAAACTAACAGGGAGATCCTCTCTTTTATTCTGTTAAGGATAAATATCTCCCTGAGCAGGAAAGGAAACATATACAAACTATTGTTGAATGTCTCTGCTTATAGGAAGTGAGAAATACAATCCACAGATAATCCCCAAATCTAATTTTAGGTTTCAGTCCCCAATTCCTTCAAACTCCCTATTAGCCTTTCTTTTTAAACAAGAGCACAATAAATAAACGAGCACGTCTTTTCTTTGATGTTTGCCCTCAATGCAGTGGCAAAAGGGAGACAGTCTGTAACAAGAGGTACTAACAGGAGAGTGGCCCCTGGGGAGCTAGGGCCTGCCTGCATCGATGCTACCTTCCCCCACAACTGCTAAGAGCATATTTTGCAGACTCTTCTATTATGAAAACTGACAAAATGGAGGCCAGTTATTACAGTAAATGTCTTTTGATTTAGGAGGTAAGTCTTCCCCAGGCTGGCACTCTGATCTGCGTGGCACACGGGCACAGATGGTGCAAGAAGTGACTGCATCTGCAGAGAACTTCCAGGGCCACCCTCGTGGCCCGATGGAAAGTTCCTGAGAGGCAGAGAAGGTGCAGAGGGCACCATCTGACCAGCTTCACCTCCCACGGCGCTGACAGCAGATGTCAGGAAGGCAGAGCCAAGCTCCTGAGTGGGGGCGGAGGCACTGAGTTCTGTGTCACAGTGATCTACAGGGCTCCTTAGTGAGATGGCCAGCCAGCCTGGCCCAGCCACTCCACAGAACCAGAGGTGAACAACACTACCGACACACAGGAAAGGAACAGGAATAAGAGGCCATGCACGGCCACTGCAAAGAGGAGCTGATACTCCTGCTCTCCTGAGCTCTCTCCATCCTCCTGGTTCTCCAGCATCGTGGATAGGAGGAAGAACTCTTTAGAAAAACACATCTCCCTCCCCCTCTCCATCGTCTGTCAGAAAGATTGAGCTCTCTCCATCCTCCTGGTTCTCCAGCATCGTGGATAGGAGGAGGAAGAACTCTTTAGAAAAACACATCTCCCTCCCCCTCTCCATCGTCTGTCAGAAAGAGAAGTGTGCCAGCCACCATTGTTGTTCAGAAAACGAGAGAACAGAGAACCTGGTTTCCTTCAAGAAATCCATACACCGAGGGGCAACTGCCCGGCAAATCCACCAGCACACTGGGGAGCTGTGCAAAGCACTGCAGAGACTTGAAAAGCAAGTGGCTGGTTTTTATGCAACTTGGAGCTTGGGTGTTACTTCAGACATTTAGATTCTTGAAGCCACAGACTAACTACACTTCAAAGCATTTTTAAATATGAGATACCTCTTAAATGGCAACGTTTATAACATCAAGTATATGGTTAAAACAAAGATTTCTGGTTTGGATCAGTAACATGGATGTTAGGGGAAAAGTTCTAAATGATTAACAAGTAAATATCAGCATAACAATATTGGGGATGGAAATTTATGTATTTGTGCCAAACATTTCTTGTTCTTTTTGGTTTTATGTCTTATTCAGGTTATATCTGCTAAGGTTCTTAATTGCACTTGGAAATAAATGCACAGCATGAAGAGAGAGGTGTAATGTAATGATAAAAAAGACAAAGCAAATTGATTTGAAAGTAATATCCCCACCAACATCAAATATTTTTAAAATAGTATAATGGCACATGCACCAATAGCCTAAATTATAATTTCACCTGTAACGTGATTGCTGGAACCAAGGGTCCTCTGCAACATTGGCCCCTTTGGAAGAAGCCTACCTGGATCACTTCAAATAGTTACTTTTAATCTCACAGAAATTCTTAAAAAAAAATCCTCTGGCAATGTTCAAAATGCTCCTGACAATGTAATATGGGGACCAAATCATGATAAACCTGGAGTTTGGGGGCTCATTTTCTCTCCTGCTCTCCCCTCTGCTGTGCAGTTGGCTCCACTGTATTTCACCTGGCCTAGAGGCCTCCTGCTCCTACTATATTGATTCTTTTCAGCTGTGGGGTAGCAAGCAGCCCTGGGGGAGGCCACTTCTCACTCCGAGAACCAGCCAGACTCCTTAGTATTGTTATTGGTCTTCTAACACTTGACAAGAACTCTGCCTTAATTCTAAAAAAAATCACAGCCTCCAATTTACAAACTTTCAGAAGACAAAGGAGCCTCTGGGCCAAGGAGGAGACGAGCACTGTTCACTGGGAGCGCGGAAAGTGACTGGGGCTCTGAGACACTCCACCACACTTCCATCTCCCCACCAATACTGCCCAGCAATGCCGAAGAGCTTCTGGATCAAGGAGAAATAATATTCCCTTCTAATTGTAAGCAGCAGAATTCATGTGTGGTGTGAGAACCGGGCACCCACCACCCCACGCCTTCTAAAAGAGGGAGGCTTTGAATCAAAATAACTTAATTGGATCGGTTGACAAAGAGCAGTCATTAAAAAGGTTCCTGGCTTTCTGAAGCCATTAGCCCCCAGGCAAAGTGGGACAGAAGGAAAATCTTGTCATAGCCAAGACAGAAGGAAACTCAACTCAAGTGACAAGGCCAAGTCCCTGGAGGCTGTCAGTGGCTGAAGAGAGACCCACCCCCCTGGAGGTGTTGACAGGGACACAGAGTATGGAAGACATAGATAGCAGGTCCAACCTTCTGACTGTCCCTTAGGCTTGGCCAAAGCTAGCCTTTTAGAGGTGGAGAGAGTGAGGTTGGAGTGGGGGCAGCTGTAGCCGGGTGACATGTGTTGGGCATGACAGTTGGGGTCCCTGGTTTACTCACCAAAATCCTATAACTCACTAGCCTCCTGTGACACCCACTGTACCTCACAGTCTTGTTATGTCTGTGTGAGTCATGCCGCCAAATACCAGACTTCATGCTGCTGGAGAACAGGGACAAGGCTCTGGTCTTTGTATGTTCAGGGCTGAACACATTCCAGGCTCGGTCAACACAAGGTTATTCAGCCGGACCCAACCCAATCACCACACAGACCATTATTTCTATGGGAAAGTGTTTTCCAAATTCCATAAAAATAAACTTAAATAATTGTTGAGTTACAAATAAACTTAAATAACTGTTGAATAGGTACAGAAGAAAAAAAAAGAAGAGAGAGAGAGAAACAAATGAATTTTGTAACACCAACAATCTTCAATTGGGAAGTACCTGTTTTAGGTAAAAGACAGATCAATTGTCAAATACCTTTCTATGAGCAAATAAATTATTTCTGACAGGAATCTGGGCGATAAAACAGGCAGAATTTGCCCTAATTCTCATCGTGTGAATGTGTCAGTTACTCATGCTACTCTCCTTTCAACACCTTTTCTCAAAGGGATTTCACAATTACTAGGTTTAGGTCAGAAGAAATATTCTGTTACATGATCTCTCAGAACCTCCCTCTTGGTCAGATCTTGGGTGCTATTAATTCAGATTTCTTTGCAGTTCCTGATAGAAACAGTATTTCATTGGCTTAATTAGTTTACACTAGTAAATAAAAGTTAATCTCCATGTAAACCATGAAGCCTCAGAAGAGTGTCCCAAAAGCAATTAGAGATCTCTGAGGACACATGTGGTCTTCCTCAGAGCCCCAGGCTTAACTCATACTCTATAAA